GTTTAGATGCACCGTAGCGGCGAAGCGTCTAATCGCGTCATGCGGGGGACAAATCACAGCCCGCCGGCCGTGTGATTAGTTACGCATCATTATGCAAATGAAACCGGTCTTTATTTTGACCACGTTTTTCCATCGTAAATTTACTACATATCGTGACGACTTCCTTTCCTCTGAAGACTGTTTCTTCTAGATTTTCGAGACTCGAGAGAAAGGTGATAGTCCATTGAAAAGTTACATTTGGGGTTGCGTTTATCAGAGGACGCAATTTTCTTTTTTAGATATCAAGGGGGGGTTGGTCTAAAGTTAAATCCGAGTTTGTGGGGTTGCAGCTCTTGTCCCGCGGCCGCCATCTTGGAAAAAGTGGTGCAAATGGGTTTTATGGTTTATCTGACAAACTATTGGTCTCACAAATTTATTCAGAGATTTTTGAATGAAAATAAAATTCTCTACAACTTTGGTCCAGTAACTTTTAGTCGTAGAACCAAAATTAACAAAGTTATAAACGAAAATTGATGAACATTTTGTAAACACTTTCCAATTGGTCCTTATAACTTTTTCTCTGGTCATTTTACAAAAAAATGACTTCAAATCATTTTTATAGAGGGGTTTTCAAGGAATAATTTTTATAACAAACTTTTTCAATTTTATTCATTAATTAAGATTTTACAGCGCTGTGAAACGAATACAATCCTCTAGTATTCCTAATCAGAAATTTCTTGGTAATGAGAACAATAAGGCTAATTTCATTCTACCTCTCAAAACTTCATTCTCAGAGGTGGGTTTCTCTGTCGACCAAGCACAATCCGATGCAGACACCCTCATTGATGTTCGTTCTGCTTTTGCCGCATCCCAATCGTTTGACTCAGTTACTATTGTAGCTGAAGATATCGACGTACTTGTGTTGCGCTTACAGCTTTTGGAGCAAAGAGATCAAATATATATATTTTTTGAAACCGTCAACGTATAGCCGAACAATTGTATTTTCCGTCAGGTTTTATGCACGAAGACGTCATTGTGGATAATTTGCGGTTCCTCCATGCTCCACTCCATGCCAGGATGTGACACATCACCAGCTTACAACATTGGCAAACTAAAATTTCTCACAACCCTGGAGAAACATCCAGAGTTAGCAATTGGAATACCGTTGTTCCTCAATAAGAGAGTTCATTCTGCTTTGCTCACTGTCATTGCTGAACGTTTTTCATCGTTTTATATGGTGGCAATAAAGATGATGATTCTCTTGACAGCATTAGATACAAACGATTCGCCTAGTCAGTGCAAAGAGTACATTCAACTTGTCTTCACTTCTTCCAACGCAAGATACAGCCCGCCTTCACAGCTTCCGAGTCTACCATCAAGTCCAGTCGTGGCTGGATAATTACAACGACCCAGAAGACTGGGTCTGGAAAAAATATGGACAAATATTGATGCCACTACAAACTTCAAAACCTCCAGTACCCCCTCAGCTTCTGAAGTTGATTTTCTGAAGATGCAAAGGAAACTTTGGCGCAATGTGTGGATGTCGAAAAGCAAGTCTCAAGTGTTCTGCAGCGTGCTTTCATTGTTCGGGGGAGACTTACAGCAACATAATGCACATATCAAAATTAATTGAAGAAAACGATTTTGAAGATGAACCGCCGACAATGACGCCACTTCATTCTCCGGTTTTCCCTCAACTACAGCGCCGGACAAAGAGATGTGGTAAACTTCTTAGAAGCTATAAGTCATAATATTAGGTTTAATTAGGGTTTTTCCTGTGGTTTTTTTTCCGGTTTTTTACCAGGGGGTCTTTCTTTCCGTGGGTTTTTTTTCCGGGTTTTTTTTCCGGGGGGTTTTCTTTCCATGGGTTTTTATTCCGGGTTTTTTTCCAGGGGCCTTTTTTCCGGTACCGCTGTAACTGACCCGTACAGGTCCGGGGAATGAATTTGCCTGTGGTATTCTCTATCTGTCGTAAAAGGCGACTAAAATGGAACCGAATGGTTCCCGGGATAAGGAATCGGCTCTCATCAAGTGCCAACGGCTTGATGGTGGAAGAGTGGTTCGGGACATGGAATGTTAGAACCCAAGGCGAAAAACGAAAACCTAAAAAGAGAAATGTAAAGAAATAATTTGAACTTTATTGGTGTCACTGAAGTGAGATGGGGTGGATGTGGAGTAGAAAAGGGAAGAAATGGGGTGGGATGTAATGAACGACTGTGTAGTAGAAAATGGAATTTGGAAAAGTTGAAAAGAATTGGAAAGATTAAAATAGGATGTAAAATGGAAGAAACATTGAGAGAGGATAAAGGAAGGTGTAATAAAAATTAGCAAATAGTGCATCAGTTTCAGCAAGGGGCCAAGAATAAAGAAACCTCTGACAACAACAAAAATGATAAATAAGATGGAGGGAAGCTAAACATTTAGGGATAGGCGAAGTGAAAAAATTGTACAGAAAACGCTGAACTAAGAAAGCAGACAGCAAGGGCAAGCACACCGTGATTTGAAAAGAAAAGAACAGGAAAAATTAGGTAGACAGGAATTGCTATATACTCGTAAGTATGTAAGTGAAGAAAAACATGCTAGATAGGGAGAAAAAAGGTGAAACTAAGACAGGGATAGAAATAGAAAATATGGATAGCCAGTTATTGACAGAAGAAAGCGCAGTATTGGGAAGACGGAAAGAATATATGGAGGAATTCTATCGAGCAAAGAACAAACCAACAGAGCTGACAGTGGAAAGCGTAGAGGAAGTAAGGAATGACAACATCGGGGAAGCCATTCTATCAGCGGAAGTAATTTATTTATTGTCTCTTTTGTTCTGGGTCCTCAATAGGGAAGTAATGGCGGCCATAAAAGAAATGAAGCATGGGTAAGCAGCAGGAGTCGATAATATCCCCATAGGTTTATTGAAATGTTTGCAAGGAAAGAAGTCGAAAGTGGGCTGTGGTCAAAGGACTTTCTCTGTTCAGAAATGGCGGTTCTACCTAAAAAGCAAGGTACAAAAAATGTTCTAAACTAACAACTAACTAAAGAGGAAAGGTGTGAACTGGAGACAAAGACGACTAATACGAAACTTATACAGGGTGTTACATGTAATTATGTAAAAAAAAAATTGGGTGGCAGAGGGGATCAAAATAAGCACATAAACCGAAAGTCCGGGAGCCACCCCCAAAGAAGTGGTGAAATTTGCATTTCTTCTTTAATTTTTTTCTCAGAGTAGAAGAGAAGAAAGACTGGTGGTACATCTGTAATTGGTTTTGGGGTATACTGCTCTAGATTGGAGTAGGAATGACTTATGACGTGTTTTGCTTCAGTTAAAATTTTATTTTTGGGGTACATTTTATTCCAAAAGTGAGATAACAGTTGTTAAAATTTGGGACTGGACAAAATTTAATTTGATGAAACCCTGAATTAGTGTCCAACTTAGTAAAATAATTGAAATCTGTTAATTGAGCATTTTCTACTTTTCCTATTGGAAAAGGCGAATATTGAACTTCTATTAGAATTTTTGGACTACTAATTTAGGATGGGACTACTATGTATTCAATTGGGTTTTCTATTGATTCAATTATACCAAGCTTATACTTGCTTATGAGGTTTCAATAAAGGGATGGGAACAATACGGGGTCCAGACTGCACATAGGGCCCAATATCCTCATTAAGTTTTTTCAGTTTTAAAAGTACCGATATCTCTGGCCCTGAAAACTCCGTTTTATTGATAAAGTACCTAAAACCTTTAGTTTAACTCCAGACCACCTGTAATTACAAATTGGTTTGAAATTTTTTAAATAATTGGTAAGGAGCAAATTGCTTAATATGATACAATATGACATACTCATAAACGGTATATATTTCTTAAAAAAAATAACAGAGAAGATATACAAAACTGCAACCATTTTAACTAAGGCGATATTAATTAAAAAAATGAGCTTATTATTTTTATTTATTAAATCAATTAAACGTTACGCTACCAAATTATGTGAACTGTATTTTGTAAGAACAAATGAACCAAAACCGCTACTATTTCCAGCGCAACCAGGCAGATGGAGACTACTTTTAAAGTCGATAGGATAGACATGTACCATTTCTTGGGCATCGAGCAATTGAGTTTGGTCTTTTTCCCAAGAAAATTAGTGCATAAATAAGGATTTAGATCGATATTGAGCAATAAAGTGATGGATGCTTAAATTCATTTTTGATAGTTGCACATCTGAATCCCATATTTGATCTCCTTTCAGTAAAAATATTTTGCTCACCAAAAATACACATCATAATTTCTAGGTCATCTCTAGCAATGGAGTTTGATCTTTTTCCCAACAAAATTGGTTAAATTTTGGTAGTTGGGGACACCTGGAGTCCATAAGTTATCATATAACGAAAACTCGAAGTCGATACGAGGTCTAGGGATTGAGCTACAGCACGAAACAACATACAGACGGACGGAAATGTTGCGCTAAAACGAATTATTCTTCAACGGAACACAACAAATTATTTATTTTCCGTTCACGAAGAAGATTCGTCGCTAAACCAAATGCTTTTGGAAAAATTAGAATTTTCATTAATTCTTTGGGACATCGGTCGTCATCATCTTCGCCCAAGTGGACTAGGGGTTGACGACCTCTTTTTAGTTTTTTCGATTTGAAACTTCGTATTTCGGATCTGAATTGTTTAAATGTGCAATTAATTAATCCTACACAATTACTGAAGAGAGCCCTTCTTACAGCAACAATGGTTTAGGAATACTAAATTGATGACGGAACTGTATTTTGGAACCTCTATCGAGTTTTGTCGGCGAATTTTCTGAAGGTTTTTTTTTTAGTAAAGTTTACGAGCAAGCTAAAGTTTTATTAGCAATACAATTTGGTGTTCCCGAAATGTTTTTACGTCACCAAAAGTAGGAGAACACTTTGACGCCTTGAGTTTTATTTATTACAGTTTTCTATACTGCCCCTCGCTCCTGGCGTTTGTACTTTCTTGTTAAATTGAAAATATCTATTTATTTGAATCATCTTTCTTTTCAGCAAGTAGAGAAACGGCATTTACGCATGCGCTAGCCGCTGCCGGTGTTACCTACGCCGTTTCCAGAGCCTGCCGAGATGGACATCTTTCCTCGTGCGGATGCTCTCGAATGGGAAGGCCAAAAACTTTAAAGAAAGACTGGATTTGGGGAGGCTGCGGCGACAACCTCGAATATGGGTACAAGTAAGTTTTGTTTTTAGTAATTTTTCTATAAATTACCGTAGTACCTTTTCCAAGTTTTAACTCCGCGTATAGGTAAAAATGATATTAATTTGTCTAATCACTTTACTATATGCGACAAATTCGTGAAAAATCCCTTCTGGTGTTTTGTGTTTTTTGATTTTTCTAAACGAGAAAATCTAGCTTACTATAATTGTAAAAATGTATCTCTGTTTTAGTCCTTATTTTTGAGAAAAAAAGGAAATCGTTTGATTGAAAAAGAAAACCTCATTTAATATTATGCAATACCCTTTATTAAAATATGTTGAATTCATGTCTTTTTTACTTATTTAACAAAATGGTTATGCTGAAAATTCAGTACAATACAGTAAAAAAAACATAAGGGCGACACAGTTGTAGTACATTATTCATATTTTATTTGTTTACAATCCGATCACGATCTCAAAACAGTAATAATAAAACAGTAAAATGTCGGCTTTGCTTCTTCGACTTATTACTCGCACTTACTGCATTATATGAAAACTGAGCCCCTTAAAAGTCCTCTAAAATGTGCGCTGTGCGAATGTAACAGCAGAGGAAGTACGTAATATCACGTTTCTAACAATCATAAACCCGTAATAATCGGATTTTGGGTGCATTATACGTTGACTGCATATTGCATGCAAGCTCCGGATTACAAATTCGTCTCGGATTTACAGTGACAGATTGCCTAGAGGGTGGTCGACATTTTATATTCTGAACGCCCCTAGGAATTATCTGGAAAGGTTTATATTTGAAATTGTTGAACAATAGAGAATGGGTATAGTCACATTTTGGAGCGTGTATTAAAAGGATAATACTGGTACTTTTTGAATTTCTTTTATTGGTTTTATTAATTTTATGTTATTGATTTACTGGTTTACCTTTAGACCTATGCACTTTTGCGATTTTAGTCGGACATCCAGTTAATCCGTTTGGAAGTATTCTTAATAAAAGTTAGGGCAGAAATACGAATTTGAGTTCATAAACAACAAATTAATGTATTATAGCCGATGAATAAGTAAATTTAAATTAGGCAATTTGTACAAATTAGATTAATACATTAAGAGGCGTATTATTATACGAATAGAATGTAAAATATTCGTTTTTTTATACATAAGAAACTGCTGGCGCATTCTCCTATTCAAAATATTTACACATCCCTTAACGCCCACCAAAATTTGAATCTAACCAAAGGAATGGTATCACTGAAATTAAATACAAACTCCCAACTAATGAAAACATAACCAAATGGATCCAATTATTATCAATAAATACAATACATGCAATCAATTTTCACAGGTCGGTTTCTTTAGGAATATTATGATTACGTTAATTTCAATACAAATTCCTAAAAATAATCGATCAATACTTTATACCAATCAAAAATTTAAATTAACTTATAGTTCTTCAGGTTATGATTAACCCTCCCTTGAAAAAGGAAACAATGTACGTCTTAATGTGCCATTAACTACAAATTAACATTATCATTTAAAAAAAGCACAAGAAATTGACCATGACATTAATACGATGATTATAGTTACTGTCACAATTTAGTAATCGATCAATCCATTTCCATTCAATTCATTCCAAAAAGCCTTACCATCCTAAGCAATTTTTTCATCACATCACACGGTGATTTAATTGATACATCTTCACCAATTATCGACGAATTGCCCAATCGTCCACTTCCGAGGATTATTTAATTGACAGCTGAAAAATTGTTGCAGGTTTACGCAAGGATTCATAGACGTAAGGGAAAGGGAACGAAAATTTAAGAAAGGATCACGAAGGCAAGGACAGTCGCTGATGAATCTTCACAATAACGAAGCTGGAAGACGAGTGAGTTATGTTCTTTTCTTACAAACATAATGCAGTATATATTTTTGCCTTTATTGGGCTGAGGCAAACACAAACCTTGTCTAAGTGGAGCACGCCATTTCTTCAAAATGGAACATTTATTGTAACAAAACTTTTGCATTCGTTTTCATGATTTACATTAATTTTCAAGCGCGTGTAAAGCATAAAAAACTACCCACCTGCAAACGCCCACTAATAATTTAGAAAAAAAAGCACATTTTCCACCTTTGACGTTTTTATTTGACACTCGCAATACGAAATTTTCCCTAGTAGCAGGCAATAAAACGCATTTTATTAATTTCTACATATATTCCACACAATACCTGTCGGATTACAAAGGATTAGAGATATTAATATTGACATATGAAATATGCACTACGCGTTTTAGTTTAGAGCAAGCCAGAATAAAAAAGTTAAACTTGTTGACTTGTTTTAAACACCCATCTACGGTGCCAATAAAAAGTTGCGTTCATCTATCAACAGGTTATTAACTTTTATTATTACTAATTTATAACAGTTGCCTTTTAATAATTTTACAGATATTAAAGCGGGGTTTAAGTTACACTTTATTTTCTCGATAAATTGACCGCAATGACTGCTGAGGCCATCATCATCGTTGAGGGAGCACCTAAATTGATTTAATTAATGGGGTAATAATGGAAACGTCAAGTTTTTATTTACGGTTTACACTTTCCCGGTAGTTTAAGGAATGAAAAACGAAACCTTTTAAATTTAAGCATTCTCGCTTAACTAAATGGCCCAAAAATAATTTTCGAGTAAGTAATTAAACAGTTTCCATGGGCCGTGTTATTGCACAATGTCTAATCATTTTTGTAAGCGACGAGTTTCCTGTGTAAATTTAGAAAAATCATTTCGATTGCAATAATGGACACGTCGGCTTCTCTTCTAAAGTAACTAAACGTGAAATATTCGGAATTTCATTATACGCCGAGTGCCATTTGGAATTTGTTAAGGTAACGAAGGTATTAATTCATATTATTTTCTTTTGACACTTATCCGCATCATTAGGCGAATTCCTGGCCGTTTCGGATACTACTTAAAAAGCTGTAATCTTCAAATTCAAACTGATTTGGTCATTGAGCATTAGCCAATCATTACACGCTGTCAGTATGGTATCCATTTGCCTATCAAGCAACCTAAATATGAAATCCCTTACTGTTTTACAACTTTTTCATTTTTAAGAAAATTCACTCTTGTAGCAATGTTCTATTGCGGGGATGTAATTACTGTTGTACACACCAAAGGCTTATTTAATTGATTATGTTTAAACGAGCTATCAACAACCCTTTTTTACATGTACAATGATTGCTTTTGCGGTGAATTGTCTTGAAAAGACCTACCAATCGACCCTTTAATATTCACCTAAAGTTGAAATCCTCTTCGGTTTTAAAATTTCGTAATTACAAAGCAATACGCAACTTTGGGGGTTGTAATTTTTTATTTACAGGAACAATGATAATTTTTGGGGTGGATTGTATTGAAAGGGCCTACAAGCAACCCTTTAACTCTTAGCTATTGATAAAATTCCTCTCCGTTTTAAAATTTCGTAATTTTTAAGAAAATTCGTTCGTACCTACCATAAGCAGTTCGCACTTGCGGGGGCTGTAATTTTGGTTTTACATGGGAAATGATTGTTTTTGTGGTGGATGGTATTGAAAGGACCAACAATCAACCCTTCAACAATGACCTAAAGTTAAAATTCCTTTTGGAACGCGTTGTTGTACACGGTATAAAGTCATTCTGGGCTGACGTTCGCTATGGTGTTCCTCAGGGCTCCATATTGGGCCCATTGCTGTATGTTATTTACTCTACTAATATTTGTCTAGTTCTAGAAAAATGTAAATACCTGTTGTATGCTGATGACACCCAAGTTTATTATTCGTTCCCTCCGGAGCATATTGATTCTGCTACTAAAATAATAAATAATGAACTTAGCAAATTAGCAGCTACCGCTATGAAACATAATTTACATTTAAATGCAGATAAGTCTACTGTGATGTTGTTTGGTCGAAAATTAATGAGAAGCAATGCATTATCCACTGTTAAGGTTAAAATTAATAATTTGGAACTACCTATAAGTTGCGAGGCCAGAAACTTGGGGATGTGCCTGGATACTAACTTGAGGTTCACTGCCCACATTAACGGGTGCGTACGAAAATCCTTTTCTGTATTAAAGCAATTATATCCCAGTAGGCATGTTCTGACAACTGCAACTAAAATACATTTGTGTGATTCCCTCGTGTTATCTCATTTTAACTTTGGAGATGTCGTATATGGAGCGTGTATTGATTCACATACAGCTTCAAGAATACAAAAGGTGCAAAACTCATGTTTACGGTTTATATACGGAATCAGACGCAGTGAACATGTTTCTCCTAAAATTAAGGAAGCTGGTTGGCTTAATATGTCAAAGCGGAGGACATTGCACTCATCAGTTCTTATCATAAAGTCATCACTACTGCGACGCCACCCTACCTGGCTGAACGATTACTGTTCCGCACTAATGTACATAGTTTAAACTTACGTCATAGGGGCTTGTTGACGGTCCCTATACACAAAACAGTTTATTTCCGCAGATCTTTTTCACATAATGCTTGTAAAGTTTATAATTCGTTACCACCGTCCATTAAAACTCTTTCGGTTCATGGCTCCAAAGTGCAAGTAAGATTACTACTGCAGCTGAGTAAGCTACAATAAAGTGCGAGACAGTAGATGAAACTTTTGAGGTTGGAAATAATTTAGTGTTATTAGTGATCGTGCATTTATTTATTAGAATAATTTTTTGAAATGTAATAATACGTTGGATTGGGGCTGTATGGAAGAACAGGGTCTCTCGGCACTGAATGCAGTCCCTTTTCCTGTTTTTATTCGTGTTATTTGTAGAGTTTTGATTTTGTTTTATGGAGAATAAATTATATATTATTATTATGATTATTTAAAATTTCGTAATTTTTAAGAAAATTCTTTCGTACCTACAAAGAAAGACGTAATTGCGGGGGTTGTAATTTTTGTTTTACATGGGAAATGATTGTTTTTGTGGTGGATTGTATTGAAAGGACCTACAATCAACCCTTCAACAATGACCTAAAGTTAAAATTCCTTTCTGATTTAAAATTTCGTAATTTTTAAGAAAATTCGTTCGTACCTACAAAGCAATACGCAATTGCGATTTGCGGGGGTTGTAATTTTTGTTTTACATGGAAAATATTTTGTTTTTGTGATGGATTGTATTGAAAGGACATACAATCAACCCTTCAACATTCACCTACAGTTAAAATCCCTTTCGGTTTTAAAATTTCGTAATTTTTAAGAAAATTCTTTCGTACCTACAAAGAAAGACGTAATTGCGGGGGTTGTAATTTTTGTTTTACATGGGAAATGATTGTTTTTGTGGTGGATTGTATTGAAAGGACCTACAATCAACCCTTCAACAATGACCTAAAGTTAAAATTCCTTTCGGATTTAAAATTTCGTAATTTTTAAGAAAATTCTTTCGAATCTACAAAGTTAGACGTAATTGCGGGGGTTGCAATTTTGGTTTTACATGGGAAATGATTGTTTTTGTGGTGGATTGTATTGAAAGGACCTGCAATCAACCCTTCCACAATGACTTAAAGTTAAAATTCCTTTCGAATTTAAAATTTCGTGATTTTTAACAAAATTAATTCGTACCTACAAAGCAATACGCAATTGCGGGGGTTGTAATTTTTGTTTTACATGAGCAATGATTGTTTTTGTGGTGGATTGTATTGAAAGGACCTACAATCAACCCTTCAACATTCACCTACAGTTAAAATCCCTTTCGGTTTTGAAATTTCGTAACTTTTAAGAAAATTTGTTCGTATTTACCAAGAAGTACGCACTTGCGGGGGTTGTAATTTTTGTTTTACATGAGCAAAGCTTGTTTTTGTGGTGGATTGTATTGAAAGGACCTACAAACAACTCTTCAACATTGACCTAAAGTTAAAATTCCTTTCTGATTTAAAATTTCGTAATTTTTAAGGATATTCTTTCGAACCTACAAAGTAAGACGTAATTGCGGGGGTTGTAATTTTTGTTATAAATGGAAAATGATTGTTTTTGTGGTGGATTGTATTGAAAGGACCTGCAATCAACCCTTCAACAATGACCTAAAGTTAAAATTCCTTTCTGATTTAAAATTTCGTAACTTTTAAGAAAATTCTTTCGTACCTACAAAGTAAGACGTAATTGCGGGGGTTGTAATTTTTGTTTTACGTGAACAATGATTGTTTTTGTGGTGGAGTGTATTGGAAGGACCTACAATCAACCGTTCAACAGTGACTTAAAGTTAAAATCCCTTTCGCTTTTAAAATTTCGTAATTTTTAAGAAAATTTTTTCGTACCTATCATGCAGTGCGCACTTGTGGGGGTTGTAATTTTTGTTTTACATGGGAAATAATTGTTTTTGTGGTGGATTCTATTGGAAGGACCCACAAGCAACCCTTCAACATTGTCCTAAAGTTAAAATCTCTTTCGGTTTTCAGATTTCGTAATTTTTAAGAAAATTCTTTCGAAGCTAAAAAGTAAGACGTAATTGCGGGGGTTGTAATTTTTGTTTTACATGGAAAATGATTGTTTTTGTGGTGGATTGTATTGAAAGGACCTACAATCAACCCTTCAACATTCGCCTAAAGTTAAAATCCCTCTCGGTTTTGAAACTTCGTAACTTTTAAGAAAATTCGTTCTTATTTACCAAGCAGTACGCACTTGCGGGGGTTGTAATTTTGGTTTTACATGGGAAATGATTGTTTTTGTGGTGGATTGTATTAAAATGACCTACAATCAACCCTTCAACATTCGCCTAAAGTTAAAATCCTTTTCGGTTTTAAATTTTTGTAATTTTTAAGAAAATTCGTTCGTATTTACCAAGCAGTACGCACTTGCGGGGGTTGTAATTTTTGTTTTACATGGAAAATGATTGTTTTTGTGGTGGATTGTAT